ACGCCTTCCTGGTCTGGTGTGGAAATCCTGGGCCTTATAGAGGTTTGGGGTGAAAAAACCAACCTCCAAGATCTCCACATCAGATGCAGGAACACTGATGTCTATGGCTGGATGGCTGAGAGCCTGGCCACCAAAGGACACATGCGCACCCAGGAGCAGGTGAGGATGAATGTTAAGTTAGTTCGAACTAGCGCTGTAGTGTAGACGTACCCTGAGTGTGAGCAATTCGTCCTGAGCAGATGCCCTCAGCAGTGCTCAGACCCGGCCCAGTCCATCACACTCTACTATGAGGACCTGCACTGAATACTAGGGGGTGGGGCAGTCCCTCCCGATAGTAGACTCAGGGCTCAAGATGCCCGTCGTCACCCTCCTGGGGGAGAGAGATGCAGAGGAGGAGTAAGAAGAGGAGGATCCGGATGAGGCCAGCACAATCACTCTCCTGACCCTGGAGCCAGTACCCCACGCTGTGGACGTGTCCCAGGCATTGTCTGAGGTTGGGCAAGAAATATCAGGTAAGTGTCATCACATTCCCTGCACACAGCGGAGGGAGGGGGCAGGCGGTGAGGGGCAGCTGGGTGCTCCTTGCTCAGTTCATGTGGTCCAGGGATGAGGCAGCAGCCAGTGCACATGGGAGCACATGTTGTGCTGCTTCTGGCCACACAGCACAAGGAGCCTACCACAGAGGAATCCGAGGTTGGGCAAGAAATATCAGGTAAGTGTCATCACATTCCCTGCACACAGCGGAGGGAGGGGGCAGGCGGTGAGGGGCAGCTGGGTGCTCCTTGCTCAGTTCATGTGGTCCAGGGATGAGGCAGCAGCCAGTGCACATGGGAGCACATGTTGTGCTGCTTCTGGCCACACAGCACAAGGAGCCTACCACAGAGGACTCTTGTGCTCTTGGCCACAGGGTGTCTGGAGAGGCCTGCCTTACTAACAACACTGGGGTGGGACAGCCTCCCTCCACAAGCCGCCTCTACAATGAGGCTGGGGACATCGACACACAGAAACACAGACACACACACACACACACACACACACACACACATACACAGCAGTCCCGCACACAGGCATGCCCACACTCTTAAAATTGAAATACTCACCCAGAGAAGTGAAAAAACAGATCGACAGAACCAGAAGGGTACCTAGACATGAACTACTTCAAGACAGGCCAAGAAGAGAAAATAACAGAATTCCAGTTGTCATCCCCTATATCCCCCAACTTAAACCACTCCAGGGTATTATCAACAATCTACAACCTATCAAAAAAATGACCCCTCACTTTCACAGGCCTTGGGGGACAGGCCAATCCTCACCTACAGACAACCCCCTAACCTCAAACAAATTATTTCCTGTGACCAGGCAACATACCCCCATCATACTCATCCAGGAACCCAACCCTGCAATCAGCCCCAGTGCCAACTCTGCCCATACATCTACACAAGTGATATCGTCACTGGACCCAACCACATCAGCCACCATAGCAGAGGCTCATTTAACTGCACATTCACTAATGTGATCTATGCCATCAGATGCCAGCAATGCCCCACTGCCATGTCTATTGGTCAAACTGGACAGTCTCTATGGGAAAGGATTAATGGACACAAATCAGATATCCAAAAAGATAACACACAGAAACCTGCTGGAGAACACTTTAACCTTCCTGGGCACTCATTAATGGATCTCAAAGTCACCCTGTTGTTTCAGGCCAATTCCACAAACCAAATACACACAGAAGAGTTGGAAGTTAACTTCATTTACAAGTTTAATTCTTATGCGAATGGAATGAACAGAGACATCGCTGGCTCGCACATTATCTTCCACATCCTAATGACTTAACCAACCAACCAATCCATGGAGGTTCTAATTGTTCTTATCAGCCTCTTGTAACTACTTGAACAATCTACTCACTGTCTCTTATGTTTTCTCTCTCTCCTCCTTTTTTTAACTCTTCCTCCCCTCTCCCCTCTAATACTCCAGTCATCTGAAGAAATGGGTTCTGCCAACGAAAGCTCATGATACCATCTACATGTTTTGTTAGTCTTTAAGGTGCTACCAGATTATTTGCTGTTTTTTAAGTTTTTCTTGTTACAGACTAACTTGGCTACCCCTCTGAAAAATGTGTCACAGACCATTGAAAGCTCCTTAAATCGAGGCACTGAATCTCAGTAGCTAGGTCCATAAAAGGTGGTCTCTGTTGATGAGGACTACAATGCATAGGTACCCACACTGCAAACACTCCCCCACTCCACAGCCTGTCCCTCTCTGCCCTGAGTTCAGTTCAAACCCTGAAATGGCTTATATAGGGACGATCTCTTCTCTGGTTCTTCCAGACTCTTACTGTGGATGTTGGAGAGAAGATCATACAATATATTGCACTAGTCCATTCCCTGAGTGTTGGGCAGTTCTCCCTGTGTGTGTTTTAAAATCCTCCAGAGAGTGAGTGACAAATCAGCCCATTTGTACAAAACATTCCACACAAAGCTTTTGATCTCTTGCATCAGGATTTCAAACAGTTTCATGTAGTTCTCCTTATTGACACTGCAAAAGTGCTTAGTGCCGCAATCCCGTGGCCACCACGCCACTGGCTATTGCTTGAGTAATTCAGGAAAGACCTATAAAAGCAAGAGGAGCAGCCCTGCTCTTACAGTTCATGGGGAAGAGGGGGACAGATTTCACAAGCAAAACTGAATGACACCAGTGCTGCGCATCTGTTCTATTCTTTGTCTTTTCTGTTGTGGTTTCCCATCTGTGGCTGAGAGTGTCTAATGATTCATGAACACAAAGAACAAGCAACTGAATGTATGTTACCTACCTATAAAAGCAAGAGGAGCAGCCCTGCTCTTACAGTTCATGGGGAAGAGGGGGACAGATTTCACAAGCAAAACTGAATGACACCAGTGCTGCGCATCTGTTCTATTCTTTGTCTTTTCTGTTGTGGTTTCCCATCTGTGGCTGAGAGTGTCTAATGATTCATGAACACAAAGAACAAGCAACTGAATGTATGTTACCTTATGCCCCTGGCTCAAGCGAACTGTCCCAGGCCCGCCGTGAGCTGGGCAGGTCTTGACCACACCGCTCACCTGGCCCTTTAATGAGTCTGGACTCGCCACGGAGCAAAGCTGCCCCAACAGGCCCATGCGAAAAGGCTGGGCTGGGGG